CAGGGAGTCGAGTGACTATGTACTAGAGAGTGATGTACATGGGGGAGGGGTTCTTGGCGCAGAAGTCAGCAGGAAGCGCAGCGCGGTAGCGAGTGTCACTAGTGCGGAGGTGCGTAATGAGGTCAGCGACTGTGGGAAAGGCAGCAAGGTCAGGGAAGAGGTACGGTAGCCTGAGGCGGCTCACTGCAGTAGTGGCAGGGGAAGAGTAGCGCGCAACTACAGCGTCGTACAAGGTTTGAACACTCTTGTACTGACTAAAGTGCGCGCGCTCAGTGGTAGGCAGGTAGCGATGCACTGCAAGACGTGCAGCAGCATCGCGAGTGGCCCACTGTGGCGTCGGCATCGGCAGCAGGGGCAGGGGAAGCACCAGATATGAGGTCAAAGAGGGAGAGACCGTCTGCCCTATCGCACTGTAGGAAAAGCTGCAGGTCATCTACCCAGACGTCAAAGTCAATGGCCCGACCCTCTGCGTCAAAAGTGAGAACACTTGGGGTAGCCATGACAGCAGTAGACTAGCAGCGCTAACTGTAGAGCAGGGGCAGTGTGGTGACAGAGGCGCTGCGCTCACCAGACAGGGCGGTTCGGGCAGCTCGGGCGGCGCGGCAGTAACTGTGGCTCGGCGGCACCCGCGGCTCGACTCCTTAGCTGCTCGGGCGGCTCGGGCGGCTCGGGCGGCTCGGGCGACTTAGCGGCGCGGGCGGCCCGGCTGCGTAGGCGTTCGGGCGGGGCCGTAGGTAGGGCGACGGGGCCGTGTCGAAGGTAGGGCGACGGGGCCGGTGCGCAGATAGGGCGACGGGGCCGGGGCCGAGGCGCAGCTAGGGCGACGGGGCCGGGTCGAAGGTAGGGCGACGGGGCCGGGGCCGGGCCGTAGGTAGGGCGACGGGGCCGGGGCCGGGTCGTAGGTAGGGCGACGGGGCCGGGGCCGGGGCCAGGCCGTAGGTAGGGCGACGGGGCCGGGTCGAAGGTAGGGCGACGGGGCCGGTGCGCAGGTGGGGCGACGGGGCCGGGGCCAGGGCGCAGGTAGGGCGACAGGGCCGGGTCGAAAGTAGGGCGACGGGGCCGGTGCGCAGGTAGGGTGAAGAGGCCGGGGCCGGGGCGCAGGTAGGGCGACGGGGCCGGGTCGAAGGTAGGGCGACGGGGCCGGGGCCGGGCCGTAGGTAGGGCGACGGGGCCGGGTCGAAGGTAGGGCGACGGGGCCGGGGCGCAGGTAGGGCGACGGGGCCGGGGCGCAGGTAGGGCGACGGGGCCGGTAGGGCGACGGGGCCGGGGCGCAGGTAGGGCGACGGGGCCGGTAGGGCGACGGGGCCGGTAGGGCGACGAATCAGGGGCCGCTAAGGCGGCGCGACTCAGTCAAGGAAGGGAGCGCAACTCGGGCTAAGCGCGCTCTGGGCAGGAAAAAAAAATCTTTCGACTTGGTGGGCCCTAGGCACAGTTCCCACGAGGGAACCTGCTCAATACCATGAGAAGAAAACGAGAATGAATGAACAATGAATGAACTGAGTACAAGTACTAACCCTAATTGGGTTGTACCCCTTATGGGCTACCCCACTATAGCCTACACAATAAGCACAAGCTATATGTTCTGACACGAGTTTCACTCGTCTAAAAGTTATATTGTTATGGACATTATGCATTAGTCGAACAGTGTACAATCGAATAAGAACAAGAAATTGCATATGTTCTTGACGAGTTACTGAGAGCTATCGCAAAACTATTTTGTAACACTACGGACAAAACTGCGCGCGAGAAAACTTTCCTTGAATCCCTACTGTGACTTCAGTAGTTTCAACTTTCTATCTAGCTTTCAACGAATGACCAAACGTGATAGCTTTTCGGGGCAAGGTGTGACCATCCGTGATAGCACTATGATCAGCCGCGATGCAAATGTACTGTATTGTGACTGTTTGTGATACCCCTGTGACCAAACGTGATAAACCAGGCTTGATTGTGACTGCCCATATAATTTCCCAAAAATGTTCTACGCGGTCTCCCTGCTGAACCTTGAGCAGGCCACTTTTCAGCTGTGATTTTCCATTCATCTGCTCTTTTTCAGGTGCTTGCCAACGTGTGTGCCTTTTCCATCATCGTGGTTAGCTCCGTGAGGCAAACACATTTCTATTTCTCGTACCCACGAGTCTTTGGAGTCTCCTAAAAAAATCTCCCATCGTCACGACACCGTCATCCCATTCCCCTCCCCACCCACCCCCTCAACTTCCCCGAGAAGCCAATTACGATGTGCTTTATTGGGGAAAATATGTCACAGGTAACCATCATTGGATTCGATAACGTGAATGGTAAAAAAATAGCGCGTACGGTCACTGTATCGGGTTTGCTGACGGGATTGGTAAGTGGGGTCACGGATTCAGTCGCTTACAACAGGCAAAAAATCACGCGAATGGTCACACATGTAACTCCCGCCAAAAATTCCAGAAACTCTACAAAATCCCCGCTCGCGCCCAACCAATCAGCTAATTTCAATAAAAACTAAAACCCAATCGGAATCGGAAGTGGTTTGGGAATGGATCAACCCTAAACACCTGGCGAATTGTGTTTAGGGTTGATTCATCCGAAAATGCTTCCAGGTTCGTTTTGGGTATTATATTTTTTGGGCGGGAGTTTCATCTGTGACCATTCGCGTTTTTTTAACCAGTTGATAGTGACTGATTCCGTGAAACGTTTTATCAGTCGCATGAAAACACCCTTCGCAGTGACCGCTCCCTTTATTTTTTTTTTACCAAATAGGTTATCGAGTCCTGTGATGGTTACGAATGGCATATTCTCCCTGCTTTACTGTACAGTATGTACATTAGTGCACAGCACAGACAGACAGGAAGGGCTGGCGACTGTGTACCCTGGCGCATGCCGTAAATGGCGGAAACATCCGTGTGAGCTCCAGATTTTTTTCCAGGTGTTGCTCATCATTCCAACACGCCCGGGACGTGGGCGCAGACAGCCACCAGGAGCAGAATGGAGAAGTCAAGAAGCGAAACATTTACACGACGTTTCAGATCACCTGTTCTTTGCAGTTACACTTTCTGTACACTCCTCGCAAGATTTCGACTGCAATCAAGTGTAGTGGTGCCGAGTTTTCGTCCACAGCCCTTTGAACGAATTTTAACCAGGCTTCGAAATATTGAAACAGTACTGTACATGACTACAGATCGTGCAGCATTCTTTCCGTCCACTGTACAAACGGCGTGAGGAGAGTACAAACGTCCCCACTAGCCCACGGACATTCCCACTTGTCTATTAATTACGATCGATAAAAAAAAAAAAAAACAGCTGGGCAGGGCAGTACAGTATCGTAGATGTTTACACTTGATCTCGTTTTGTTGGCCTTTGCGTTTCTGATAGTTTCGATCCAGAGTAGAGCGCAAAATTTGAAGCGGCAAAATCGGGCTTCCCAAACGTAGTGATCTCTCCTGATTGTTACTGCAGTAAGTACTGTCATGCGAGGTCGAAGTCTTTCTGTATAAAGACCCTACGCCTAACTTGCACCCTACACACTCTTCTAACTCCCGCGCATGTCCTGTCATTGGATGCATGAAGCTATGTACTTTTGTCGTTCGAGCATTTCACCGAGCGTGAAGTGTAGAAAACCGCAAATGAGGGTTTCGTAAGCGCGTCGCCAGGAGAAAGGAAGACTCGCAGGATCCACCCACCAGGGTTTGCTTGTCGAGTTGTGGGTTTGGGTCGTTTTGTGACGCAACGCGAAGGATCCTCGCCTCCACGCCTCGCCTCTCCCTACGCCTCTCCCTTTGCCTTGCCTCGGCTCGCCTCGCCTCCCCTCCCTTCGCCTTTCCCTCGCTGTCTCGCCTCATTGAAGGGTTTGCTTTGCTGTTTTTCCCGCTCCAACCTCGAATTTCAGGCCAGCCCAGCATTCTAAACTGTGAAACACTGTTCAGCGAAAGAGGCCGTTGGGTGGCTTCGATTAGTTGCAGATCTGACCTAGGGGGTATCCCATTATCGTGTCAGACCCAGTTTTACTGGCGGGATCAGAGGCTGAAAAACGCGAGCTTGGGACCCGCAACCAAGGAGCGGGCCTGACAAGAGCAGCTGAGCTGGGGCACATCGTAAACCAGTAAAACCTCATCTAAACAACGATTGCATAAGGGTATCGTAACCTTCATTGATGTCAGATTCAGAAACCCGAAGTCTGGGAAACGGTGATACATCGAGGTAAGGCATTTTCGAAATACGCCCCAAGCAACTCATGAATGCACAGTACACCACCTCAGCTAGATGCTTTTGTCTTGGTGGGCAGCAAGAAGCAAACGCACGAATAGGTTCATGCGCGGCTGCCTGGCAGGCCGATGGTCGGTCCGCCAGCTTCGCAGCACCTAGCACAACGCAGCGAAAACACCCGCGCAGCCAGCTCACCTGCTCAGTACGAACAAACAACTGAGAAGCTGCACTGCAAAACCTCGCGTTGCCTTCGCTTTTGGCCTTTTCTTCCGTACCTTCCCTCCCACGCTCCAAGGAATTACAGCGGTCGCGTCAGCCGAATTTGCCCCTGTCCAACGTTATCAGTCGGGAAAGGATGCTCACCGTTTGGGCGTTGCAGTGAGAGAAATCATGGCTGTAAAGTCTAGCAGAGAGAAAGAAATCCGAGTGCTTTCCTCTCTCGTCGCATTTCGCTTTCTTGATCACCTAACCGCCCCTAGAAGCGTCTAGCTAGTTTCTATTTGAACGGAGCGGGAGTGAAATACCCGAGGCCGCTGGCACATCGAAGCGAGGCTGATAGGATAGCCATTACAGGAATACGCGGCGAACGAGTAACTAGACGGCTGTAGCAGCCACCACCATTTCAGTTAGGCCGTTTTCTCCTTACATGCTCACAAATCCGAACCCCATTCAGTGCTGCGACTAGCAGTGTCACGATTAGTAGTGTCACGCCTAGCAGTGTTACGGCTAGCATTGCTACGACTAGCAGTGCTACGATGAAGAGGGTCACAACAAGCAATTTCCCATTCGGGGCTTTAAGGAGGAGGAGCAGCCTCATGGTGGAGGGGCGAACGCGGCTCCCGCTGCTGGTCCTCTCTGTGTGCACGTTACTAGTCATGGACACAGCGCAGGTACGGGCAGCGTAGGTACGGGCAGCGTAAGTACGGGCAGTGTAGGCGCAGCGCCGCGGAGAAGATTCAGCAAGTCGGGAAGTGGAGCGCTTGTTGCGGTGGAGCAATACGGAAGCATGAGAAATCTCCGAGAAATCTCGAGTCGAGAGAGCGCTTGTTGCATACCCTCTCTTCGTCTCGCGGACGACCACTCCTGTATGGCCGTTGCTCCTGCCGTGTGACATCTGTATTCAATCATCCTTAAGAGTCCGCCTTCCGACGGCGACGCCGTCTCCACGATCCCTCCTTCTCCCCACGCTCCCCCCGCCGCCCCTACCTCTTCCCCATCCTTTCCCAGCCGCTACATCATCGTGAGGAAGCGTTGTCCCCCTTCCCCCTTCCCCCTTCCCCCTTCCCCTTCCCCTTCCCCTTTCCCCCTTGCTCCTTCCCCTTTCCCCCTTCCCCTTTCCCCCTCCCCTTTCCCCACATCCCGCTCTTCCGCGGCTTCCCCCAACGCAGGCCAAAGCAACACCGTGCCCCGGGCCAGACTCCAAGCGCTACACGATAAAATCCACCGACACGTGCGCGTACCTCCTAACGACCTACTTCGCCTCCTCCAATGACACCTTCGCGCAATTCACGGGAAGCGCCGGCTGCGCTGACCCACTTCAGGCCGGCGCTACCATCTGCCTTCCTAAGGGGAAGGTGCCGTCTTCCCCTCTTCCCCGTTCCCCCTCCCCCCTTCCCCCTCCCCCTTCCCCTTTCCCCCCAACTGCCGCTGATACTCCGGTGATTTTCCGTACCATCGCCACTGCCCATTCTCGTTTCCCCTCCCTTCTCCCCTTTCCGCCCTCCCATCCCTCCTCCACTCTTTTCCCCCCCGTCTCCGCTCCCCACCTACCTTCCCCCAATCCATTCCCTCCCCCTCTCGTCGTGATTCAGTCGATTCAAGTGATCTGTCCGCGCGGCTTCAAGCGCTACCCGCTGAAGTCCAACGACACGTGCACCTACCTCCTAACGACGTATTTCGGCAACTCGGGCCCCGCCTTCGCCGAAACGACGGGTTACAGCTGCACCGAGCCGCTCAACGTCGGCTCCGTAATCTGCGTTCCCAGGGCGGAAGGAGTGGGGTCGTCGGGGCAGACCGCGCCGCCCGCGATCATGTCCTCGTGCCCGCGCTTCACCGTGGCGTACGCGACGAAAGCGGACGAGACGTGCACGACGCTCGCGACGCGGTTCTTCTTCGCGAACGCGGATCTGTTCCGAAAGTACAATTCCGACCGGCCGTGCGAAGAGCTCGTGGCGGGCGCGGGCGCGGGGAGCAACGGCACCGTCATCTGCGTGCCGTCGACCGTGGCGCAAAGCACCACGATTCGGCCCATCGGGGCGCAATGTGAGCACTGAGGGGGGCCGTGGTGGGGCTTGCTCATGCCTCGAGGCTGATTCGAGTTGCGTGAAGATCAACGGAATGCTCGGCGCGTGAAATGCTTGCTGTTGACGCGACTCGCGTCTCTCAATTTTGCTGCCACCACGCTTTCTGCTCCTTGCCGCCTCCGCCCGCTCCCTCGGCATCAATCCCTCTCTCCTCATTCCTCCCTCCCTCCCTCCCTCCCTCCCTCTCCCCCCGCGTGTTGTCCGCCATGCGCGCACGACAGGGAGCGCCTTGAGCGATCTGATGAAGGTGTGGGATTCCATGAGCGCGTACGGCTGGCGGAGCAACGCGCCGTGCGCCTCCATGCTCGGAGTCACGTGCAACAGGGCGGGCGTCGTCATCCGCCTGTGAGTCACTCTCTCTCTCACTCTCTCTCGTGCGCGTCATCTGCATTACCGCTACAATACAACAGCCCACCGCTCCACCCCTCCACCACACAACCGCTCCACCACTCCCTGTTTTGAGCAGACTTTTGTTGCTGCAGCTCGTCCCGCCTTTCTTGACACCTTCCCCCGCCATGACACCTTCGTCTGTCGCATCAACCCCGCCACGTGCCTAATGCAACGCTCTCCTCCCGCTCCTCCCTGTTTTCCCTCTAATTTCCCCTTCCTTTCGTCTCCGCCTGCTCCTTCCCCCCCCCCCCCCCCCCCGCCCTCTTTTTCTCCTCCCCTTTGTCCCTGCCCCTCCCCTTTTTCCTCCTCCTCCTATTCCTTCTTCTCCTCTCCTCTGTTCCTCTGCCTCCGTCCATCCCGCTGCGTCCATCAGCTGGTTACCCTACCTCACCCTCGGCTCCTACATACCGCCCACCATCGCCGCACTCACCGGCCTCACCTCCCTGTACGAATCTCTCTCCCTGCCACTGCTCCTCCTCATCCGCTCCCTGCCCATTCCGTTGCCTTGCCATCGCCGCATCTTCGTGTTGAGATTTCTCAAAAGTGAATCCACTGCCACGGCTTGCTTCCCCTCGCCCTCTCTCTCTCTCAAGTGGTCTCTCGCTCTTTTGCACCCCTCCCACTCCTCCGCCGCGCTATTCACTGAACACCCGATCCGTACTATCCGTGCACCCTTCCTTGATGCCCTACTTCCCCACTCTCCCCTACCCAACTCCCCACTGCCCCACTGCCCTTGCCGCCCCTGCAACAGGAACCTGGCGCAGAACTGGTTCCAGGACTCCCTTCCCAACAGCATCAGCCGACTCGCCGGCCTGCAGGAGCTGTAAGCCGCACTGCACCCGCCCTGTCTATCTCCCCTGGGGGGGCACTGCTGCCGCGCCGTCACACGCCCTGCACGGGCACGCACTCTCTCCCCAGTTCTGCCGCTGTGCACTGCGCATGCCTCGTCTGCTCACTTTCCTCCTTCCTACTTGCGTGCGACGCCTTTCAGTTGGGTAGTCCAAGACCCTTGACTCTCCTCTCCACCTCCTCCGTGTCCGTCTTCCCCACCACCACCACACCATGTGCGGAGTGTGCAGATACCTGAACGACAACCTCTTGACGGGTCCATTACCGCTGGGCATGGCAGCACTCGCACAGCTCAAGACCCTGTACGTGCTACCACCCACCGCTGCCGCTGCTTCTGCTGCTGCCCGCCTGTTGTTTCGCCTTGCTGCTCGTCTCACCATACCCCCCGTGTGTGTGCCATGTCTGTGCCTCGTGTGTGCACCAGAGACGTGTCAGACAACAATCTATGGGGCACTGTTGACGTGCTGGGAAAGCTCAGGATATCCTCGCTGTAAGCCACCCCACCCCACCACACTCCACTCTCTATCTCGCTTCTACCTCCCTCCCCGTCCCCACCTGCCCGTTCCACCACATCCCGGCGAACCCACTCTGCCTGCAACCGCTGCAACCGCTGCACCCGCTGCACCCTCTGCAACCTCTGTCACCTTGTGTTTCTTGCTGCTACCACCAACCCATCTGGCCTTACACCATCCACCTCACATCTCTCTTCCCCCCTTTACCCTCCCCACCAGAGACCTCTCGGACAATCAATTTGCGGGAGCACTTCCTCGCCCAGGTGCGGCCATCTACCGAGTGTCCAACAACTACTTCTCCTTCGGTCTCCTGCGCCTCATGGCGGACTGCACGCTCCCCCGCACCATCACCGGCAACTGCCTCGCCGTCACCCTCGACTACCCCTGCACCGGCCCCGATTCCACGCAGCAGCGCCCTCTGGAGGTCTGCCACGCGTTCTGCGGGACGAGCCCGTCGGACCTGCCGTGTGGGGGCCATGGGGAGTGTTATCTGAACGGGCCGAATCTGATTCCCACGTGCAGCTGTGACACGGGATATGCACTCGGTCAGCGCCGCACCACGTGCGTGCCGCTTGGTGAGTGACCCTGCCCTGCCTGTTCCGTTCCGCCTGTGCTGTTCGGCCGTCCACGTACCTGCCCGCGCCTTCCTGCATGCCCCTTTCTGCTTTTTTCTATCTCCCTCCTCTCGTTGCTTCTGCTCCGTTTCTCCATCACCCTAAGCCCGCTCGCTCTCACCAATTTCCTCCTTGCAACCGTCCTCGCCTTGTCAACATCCTCTCCACCACCTCCCTCTCTCCCCTCCACTTTCCGTCCTCCCATCCCCCCAGGCATTGCGATCGGCATAGCAGTCGACTCCTCAGATCCCTTCCTCACGCCCATTCTCCTGGCCAACGCAACCTTCAAGACCGGAGTCCTCTCACTCACCAGCGGCCCCGACAGCTTCGGCGCAGCCTACATGCCACAGCCCATCTGTCTCTTCTCCATCACGCCTCCCACGAGCGTCCCCGCAGGGACCCCTGTGAATCCCGCATCCTCCCCAGAGCCTGTGTGCGGCACAGAGCTCAGTTTCAACGTCACCTTCTCCTTTCGGATCGAGTCTGTTGGGGTTAACCAAAACGCCACGGGCATGGCGTTTGTCATCTCGCCCGCCACTGCGGTGGGCGCGGGGGGCAGCGGGCTGGGGTACTTCTCTCTGGCTGGGTCCGTTGCGGTTGAGATGGATGCGAAGCAGGACGCGGGGAACGCCGGTGACGGGCCCGCCCCGCACGTGGCGATATCGGTCAACGGCGGCACAACAACCCTCGCCTCCGCAAAACCCACGACTCTCCTGCTCGTCATCCCCCGAACGCTCCTCGACCGGCGCTTGTGGGTGGACTATGATGCGGATCAGCACAAGATGTGGGTGTACCTAGCAGTGGACGATGGGTCGGACAAGCCCAGCCTGGCGCTGCTGTCTGGAGTGGACGTGAACCTGTGCGAGCTGCTGGCGCCATCAGCGAGTCAGTCGTCGTACTACTTTGGGTTCACGGGGTCGGCAGGGAAGGTGCCGATGAGGCACACCGTCACATCCTGGAGCATTGACACTGGTGAGAGAATGGGGGTGGGGGTGAGGTTGGCTTGAAAGTAGGGGGAGGGGAGGGTGTGGGGGGTGGGAGTTTTGAGGCGCCTCAAAACTGGTCGGCGGGGAAGGTGCCGATGAGGCACACCGTCACATCCTGGAGCATTGCCACTGGTGAGAACGGACGGAGCAGAGCTGCGCTTCCTCCTCTCCTTCTTCTTCTTCTTTTTCCGCGTCCTCTTCCCACTCTCCCTCCCTTCTCGCTGATACTGCCTCCGCTCCGCACTTGCTTGACAGCAGCTAGAGGGTTGGGTTGGGACTTGCACGTGCACCTCTTCTGGTTGTGTTCTACCCACACCGCTCTCTCACATGCCTTACCACCAGTTTTTTGGGTGCCTCAATAGTCGCTCCGCTCTCAACCATCCATCCATGCCTCTCCATCATCATTCATCCGGCTCGACTCCTCCTCCGCCACTCGTCTACGTGCCTGAACTTTCTCTCCTTTCTCTGTGTTGCTGATGTGCTTTTCATTGTTCTGCAGTGCCACCGGTGCAGCAAACGCAAGTGGCAATACCTGGTACACACCCTGCTCAGCACCCTCCTCACAGCAACCTGCTCACAGCACTCCTCTCATTTTGATATTCTCAAGCACACCTCACCTTGCACCCCTCTTAATCTAGACCCTCCTCTCCCTACTACACCATCCTGCTTTCCCTCTTCCACTACAGTCACAGGACTCCACCGCAGCATATCAACATGTCATGTCATAGTTGCCCATTGCCCCATCACTCTCTCCCCCCCGTTCCCTTCCATTCCTCGGGCCCCCCACATCTTCATCCCCCCCCAACTCAACCCGAACCTACTCCTCCCCTCTCTCCTGACCCTCCCTTACTCGCCTCCCTCTTCCCCCCTGTACCCGTCCGGCATTCTCTCCCTCCCTCTCCTTCCCCACCACCCCTCTCGAACACCCATGCGCGCCACGGCAGACATGCCGCTGGGTCTGGACCCGTTGAAAGAGGTGACGAGCTATGGCAGCAACCGGCTGTTCCAGTACGCGTCAGCAGGCTATGCGCGGTCCCCGGACGGCTCTGACTCGTGGTCGCTGCTCTCACTCTCCTCCTGGCTCACGCCCTCCTTCATCGCCCCTGTGCTCAACCAGAACGGCTGCGGTGAGTCTTGCTTCGCCTTGTGTGTGTGTGTGTGTGTGTGTGTTTTTTTTTTTTTTTTTTTGGTTAATGAAACGCTCGCCTCATTTCAACTTCTCCTCCTGACTCACGCCCTCCTTCATTGCACCTGCGCAACCAGAACGGCTGCGGTGCACTGGCAATGTCAGGGGAATGGGGATGGACGGAATGGGTGGAATGGGTGGAATGGGTGGAATGGGATTGTATGGGATGGGATAGGATGGGATGGGTGAGATTGCAGGTTGGATTAAGAACGGGAATCTCGTATCATGGTCATCTGCACGTGCCTGTCCGTTATCATAATATTTTTCAGAAATCTCAAAAATACCCTGTCATGATCGTTGTCTCCACTTCTCTGGTGCTATAATACGTCCCTCCCCTACCCCCTTCTTTTGTTCCCATATGCCCCTCCTCTTACCCTCCCTCTCTGTCTCTCCTTTGCAGAGGCATGCTGGGCGTTCGCAGCGGTTGCAAGCATCGAGTCAGCGCACGCCATTCTCCACAGCGGGGCCTCGGCTGCACCGCAGCTGTCGGTGACGCAGATGCTGCAGGCCACGGGCTCGTCCACCTGCACACCCTCCTCGCCCGCGCTCGGCCTGCAATACGCCATCAACATGACCAATGCGGGCTGTGGTCTCAGCCTTGCCTCCTCCTCGGTGAGTGCATGCATGGCGCTCGTTACGGGAAGGAGTATGTCTGGGGAACAGAGCAAGCTGTCCTTCCATTCCACCCCCCAGGTCCATGTGTTGAGTTGAGAGGCACACCGTACAAGGCTGCATGGCATCCTTAGACCTCTCGTCAATTTTTAAGTCGACTTAAAAACCGTACAAGGCTGCATGGCATCCTTAGACCTCTCGTCAATTTTTAAGTCGACTTAAAAACCGTACAAGGCTGCATGGCATCCTTAGACCTCTCGTCAATTTTTAAGTCGACTTAAAAACCGTACAAGGCTGCATGGCATCCTTAGACCTCTCGTCAATTTTTAAGTCGACTTAAAAACCGTACAAGGCTGCATGGCATCCTTAGACCTCTCGTCAATTTTTAAGTCGACTTAAAAACCGTACAAGGCTGCATGGCATCCTTAGACCTCTCGTCAATTTTTAAGTCGACTTAAAAACCGTACAAGGCTGCATGGCATCCTTAGACCTCTCGTCAATTTTTAAGTCGACTTAAAAACCGTACAAGGCTGCATGGCATCCTTAGACCTCTCGTCAATTTTTAAGTCGACTTAAAAACCGTACAAGGCTGCATGGCATCCTTAGACCTCTCGTCAATTTTTAAGTCGACTTAAAAACCGTACAAGGCTGCATGGCATCCTTAGACCTCTCGTCAATTTTTAAGTCGACTTAAAAACCGTACAAGGCTGCATGGCATCCTTAGACCTCTCGTCAATTTTTAAGTCGACTTAAAAACCGTACAAGGCTGCATGGCATCCTTAGACCTCTCGTCAATTTTTAAGTCGACTTAAAAACCCTACAAGGCTGCATGGCATCCTTAGACCTCTCGTCAATTTTTAAGTCGACTTAAAAACCGTACAAGGCTGCATGGCATCCTTAGACCTCTCGTCAATTTTTAAGTCGACTTAAAAACCCTACAAGGCTGCATGGCATCCTTAGACCTCTCGTCAATTTTTAAGTCGACTTAAAAACCGTACAAGGCTGCATGGCATCCTTAGACCTCTCGTCAATTTTTAAGTCGACTTAAAAACCGTACAAGGCTGCATGGCATCCTTAGACCTCTCGTCAATTTTTAAGTCGACTTAAAAACCGTACAAGGCTGCATGGCATCCTTAGACCTCTCGTCAATTTTTAAGTCGACTTAAAAACCGTACAAGGCTGCATGGCATCCTTAGACCTCTCGTCAATTTTTAAGTCGACTTAAAAACCGTACAAGGCTGCATGGCATCCTTAGACCTCTCGTCAATTTTTAAGTCGACTTAAAAACCGTACAAGGCTGCATGGCATCCTTAGACCTCTCGTCAATTTTTAAGTCGACTTAAAAACCCTACAAGGCTGCATGGCATCCTTAGACCTCTCGTCAATTTTTAAGTCGACTTAAAAACCGTACAAGGCTGCATGGCATCCTTAGACCTCTCGTCAATTTTTAAGTCGACTTAAAAACCGTACAAGGCTGCATGGCATCCTTAGACCTCTCGTCAATTTTTAAGTCGACTTAAAAACCGTACAAGGCTGCATGGCATCCTTAGACCTCTCGTCAATTTTTAAGTCGACTTAAAAACCGTACAAGGCTGCATGGCATCCTTAGACCTCTCGTCAATTTTTAAGTCGACTTAAAAACCGTACAAGGCTGCATGGCATCCTTAGACCTCTCGTCAATTTTTAAGTCGACTTAAAAACCGTACAAGGCTGCATGGCATCCTTAGACCTCTCGTCACCATTCCACTCTATTCACCGTCCCCCCCTCCCCATCCCCCCCTGCCCCCTTTGCGTGCAGCCCCCCTTGTGAGAACCCACCCTACTAAGTGGCATGATTCTCCAAGTTGTCGTTCCACGGCTGGTCGTCCATTAAGCCGCCTGCTAACCCTCTCACGTCTCTCCCTTTTTGACCCTCTGGTCTCTCCCCACCATCCCCCTCTCCCCCCCTCCCCCTCCCTCCCACCAGCCCCCGAGTGTGTGTGAGAACACACCGTACAAGGTGGAGTCATACGCCAAGGTGTCGTTCCAGGGGTGGTTTGGGCTGCTGCTGGCCGTGCAGCGCCAGCCAGCCATCGTGCACATACAGGCCGACGCCGACTCCTTCCGCCTCTACGATGGGGTACTTTCCTGCCTGCCTATCTACCTATCTGCCTAAACCCTTTCCTTTCAACCAGCCTCTGGGCCTTCCTTGCTTGCTCGCTTGCTTTCTCACTCCATCCGCTCCTCCTCACCCTCTTACCCCATCTCTCCGACTCTTCATCGCTGCCCTCCACCTCTCCTCCCCTCCCCTCCCATCTAAACCATCCCTGTTGCGACGCGCTCCCTCCTTCCTTCCCCAACATCCTCCCTCCCTCATGCCCATTCTTTTTTCTGGCAAGGCCCAACCGCCCCAACCCAACCACCTCCTCTCTTATCTACCATATACATACCTGCAAACCCCAATCACCCAACCTAGCCCAACGTCCTTCATTCTCCTGCCACTCCCCACACTCCACCCTCCTTCCATCCCTCCCCACCCCTCTTTCCCCCATCCGCCAGACCTACGTGTACCAGGACCCCTCGTGCTACTCGTTCAACCTGAACCACGTGGTGGTAATAGTGGGGTACCTTATAGCGGGTGTGGAGTCCAAGGCACCAGGGCTGGCGCCACCCTACTGGATCATCCGCAACTCGTGGGGGCCGGACTGGGGCTCGGGAGGGTATATGCGAATGGCCATCCAGGGGGGGAATGGCGTTTGTGGAGTCAACACTCTGCCCGCTCTTGTCCCTGTTGTGAAGGGTGAGTTAAGGGAAGAGGGGAGGAGGCGGGCGCGGCGGGAGGGAGAGAGGGAAGGTTGGGGGAAAGTAGGGGAAGGGAGGGGAGGGGAGGGGAGGGGAGTGGTGGTGGCGGAGAGGGAGGGAGGGAGTGAAGAAACAAGTACTGAGGCGCCCTTTTTGCTCCCTGCCATTGTTTTTCACCGATCTATAGTGCCCCTTCAACCCCCTGACACTCTTTCCTCTCCTTTTGAAGCACCTGAAATATCTTTCCTCTTTACCTGATTCCTTCTCTTGTATTACCCCTTTCCTTCTTCCCTCCTTTCGACCTTTCCTCTTCTCTCCTCGCCACATATCCCCTGGCCGAATCTCTTCCCTCGTTCGACCCCTCCCCTCCTACCCACACAGACCCCACAAACCCCTGCAACCCCAGCTCGTTCCGAGTATCGGGGGGGCCGGCGCTGAACCCGTGTGGGGGATTCACATGCTCCGTGGACCCTGCCAACGCCACCACCAACGTGTGTGACTGCAAGCTGCCCTTCGTCATGGCCACCAACACCGACGGCTCCCGCACCTGCGCCTACTGTACGCCTCCCATCTGCCCTCCCTGCCCTATCTGCCCTCCCTGCCCTCCCTGCCGTCTTTGCCACCTTGACTCACTATTTTCTCCCTTGTGCCCTCTGACCCTCTGTGCCACCTGCGGCTTCTGTACCCCTCCCTCTACTCCACGTGGCGCCCCCATGCCATCTCGCCCTCCACCTGTTCCTAATCGCTCTCCCTTTGCTTTCGACTCACATGCTTCTCACACGCCACTTGCAATCCCCCTCCACGCCTCTCCTCTGCAGCAAGTGACGGCTAGTTACTCTTCTCGTGCAAAATACACCCTTCCTTTTCCTCCTCTCCTGTCCCACTTCTCCATGTTCGTGCTCATTCCTCTCCTTCCCTTCCCATGCATTTCTTTGCCCTCTCCTTCCCCCTCCTTGCCCTCTCCTTCGCTCTCCTTTCCCTCTCCTTCCTCTCCTTTCCCTCTCCTTCATCTCCTTTCCCTCTCCTTCATCTCCTTTCCCTCCCCTTCATCTCCTTTCCCTCTCCTTCATCTCCTTTCCCTCTCCTTCCTCTCCTTTCCCTCTCCTTACTCTCTTCGCCCTCTCCTTTCCTCTCTTTGCCCTGCAGTGGATGCATGTGGGACAGCAAACCGCAACCCATGCCTTGTGGGCACGTGTGTGAATGACGGCAAGGGAGCGTACTCGTGTGTGTGCCCCCCGGGCTACTGGCACGGGCTCACTGATGAAGGCTCTGAGTCCTGCTTCCCCGGTAAGTTCTGATACTTCCCGAAAGTGACTCAAACGTATGTGTGAATGAAAGGAAGGGGCCGTACTCGTGTGTGTGGCCGCCGAGCTACTGGCACAAACTCACAGTTGATGGCTCCGAGTCCTGCTTCCCCGGTCAGCCCTGCCTCCCTGCTCGATTGCCGCTGCTTCCTCATTGTTACTCGCTTGTTCATTGGCTAGTGCCATGCCGTGACTATGAATAATGTCTCCTTCCTGTCTCTGATGTGTGGTTCTATCTCCCATGTGTTTGCTTGTGCCATGGTATGGTGTTGCATGGCATGGTGTGGAATTTATCTGTGGCACCAACAGGGGATGCGGGGACGACATACATTGTGACATTCAGCAACGTTCGGTGCTCAGACATCCACCCCATCTACAGCCTCACTCTCACAGAGTTCAAGGCCAAAAACGTACGCTCCACATGCCTCGTGCCCCATGCTTTACGCTACATGCCAGATGTCACTTACAAATGGTCCTCTCTCTTGTCTCCCTCACGCTCCCCCTCCTTCCCTCACATTCTCACATTCCAGCCGCTTTCCCCCGTTTCCCCACGTTTACCCAACATTTATCCTCCTCATTTCACCCCATGCCATCCCACCCCCCCCCCCTTGGCACCTGCCTGTCCTCCCGCCCCACCAGCCCACGGTGAACTGCAACGCTGACATCCCTGTGGGCACGGAGGTGGATGTGTCCTCTGCAGTCACCGTCTCCGCCTGCACCGTCCTCTACTACACCTCCTCCGTGCGCTCTCTGCCCTTCCCCCGCCCACTTCCTGTGTCCTCTTCCGTCTTCCCTCTCCCTCGGCCCTCTCCCTCTGCCCTCTCCCTCTCCCCTCTCCCTCACTCTACTGTGTTAGCTAGCTTGGAACTGTTGTTTTCCACAACATTTTTTTCTACCCTTCACTGCTCTAGTTTCCCAAACTCCTCCCTACCCAACCAACTCCTACCTAGCCACACACTCCACCCCAATTTCCCCTTCCCGCACTCACCCCTCACCCCCCCCCCCCTTCCCCACCCACCACACTTCCCCTTTCTTCCACTCCCCCCGCGCGTTTCTCCCGCCCCCTTCCCCCTTCACCAGAAGGACACCTGTGCATCGCTCCAAACCTACTTCAACCTCACCAATATCACCGCTCTCAACCGCGGTCTGGACTGCACAGTACCACTCAAGCCCAACACTGCCCTGTGTGTGGAGCGCAACCCTGCTCTACCGGGCTTCCGCTACGAGTGCTCTCAGTGGCGCAGCGTCACTGCCAGCGATACTTGCGACTCACTCCGCCTCTCCGCCAAACCTCCTCTCTCCCCGCTGAGTTTCTTCCGCCTGAACATGGGGATTAACTGCGACCACATGGCGCCTGCTGTCAGCATTTTGGGCGAGAGCTCCTGGTCTACCAGCTCGTCGGGATACTTTGGCTTCCAGGTGCGGTGACGCGTGGTGATGCGGGGTGATATGCGGTGTGATGCGGTGCTGGAAGAGAGGGCCGGTTTCCTGCCTGTCATTCCTCTTGCCATGCCTTGTCTCCTTCCTTCGCTCTCCTCTACCCACACCGCTTTCCCTGCATCACCTGCCGCCCTGTTGTCCTTCCAATTCATCTCCCCCTCGTCTTCCTCTTCTCTCAACCTCGCTCTCCCGTGTCCCACCCAACCCCACCCATCCCCTCCCTTCCCCCTCACCTCAGGTGTGTCTGTCCAGCCAAGCAGCGTTCGGGCAGCAGTGCCCATCGGGCACCAAGGGAATTTCAACGTCCATGCAGTGTGCAGGAATCAACAGCAATTACTATTATAACATTCAAGGCGCCTTCAAGTCCTGCAACGGCTTCGAATGCCCTAGTTCTGTGCCCCCGGGAATGTGGATCTGCGACCCTGCCGGCACATGGACTCCCTGTCTCAATGTACCCTAACCGTCAGCCCAACTCTAACCCTAACCCTATTTTCTAAACCCTAAGCTCCATAATCTATACCTTATTCCCTGTACCTTGTACTCTAGCCGTATGGCCTGATGCGAACCCTCCTAACCCGTTGCTAGCTGCTTTGCTCTGCTCCCAGCAGAGGAGGGGGGGAGGGGAAGGGGGGACGGGAGGAGGGGGCACCACTTGCCAAACAGGTGTTTTTATCCGAGCTGGGCGTTTGTACGGACATTGACTTGACACATCCTCCTCCGTAGCAGCATGCGCTGCGGTGGAAGGTAAGGGAGTACAGCTCTCTAGCCGAGCACACTTCAACACTGCCAGCAGCCAACAGCATACAGCCATCAGCCCTGTCTGCGGTCCTATCAGACAACAACAGACACTCTGCTCCTCACCTGTCCTGACTGCTTCCTCATCCTCGCATGGCACCTACCCACGGCATCTCTCTGTTCTGTTCTGCCAAGGATTTCTTCTCAGCTGAGACCCACTCCCTTGCATGTCTTTCAGCCCGAGACAATACCCATGTCCGTATAACAAACATTAGTGAATGTTGGAATGGAGTCCTCCCGAATCCTGATTCCTGAATTAAGCACACCCGAATCCTCATCCTCCAGGGAGGTTTGCCTTTTCCATTTTGGGTTGGTTTGTTTGTGTGTGTGTGTGTGTACTTGTTGAGCAAGACGATTTTGTATGAGCAATATGATTTTGTGCTGGCATTTAGCTGCTTGCAGCAGGATCCAAAAAGCTGGTGATTGTGCTGTGAACCAGTGCCCTAGATACCGTATCAGACTTTGGAGTCTGAATCAGAGTCCGTTGAGACTTTTTTTTTGTACCTAGTCTGAACTCAAAGAATTTATTTATGTACCTTGTCAGATTTTCCAGAGTTTTTTCTTACGAGTTGTCTGAAATTTCAGCCAAATTTTACTAGGGTAGGCTGAGCCTCAGACTTGTATCGGGGGTACACTCTGCGCGCTTATCGGAGAAAAGTTTCCTGGAAGTTTCCTTCTGATATGCCCACTTCCGAGATGGCAGTGGAGTGCCAGGACGTGAGCAACACTCACTTCGACAGCTGGGACATCCAAATACACTCGTTCGTCGAGAATATCTTCCAGTTACGCTGAGGAAATGGTTGCGTGATTACGAGATTTCTGAAGACAAAATCTCGTCACATGCAAGTTATCGCTAATGTATTGTAAAGAATAGGCGACTTTGATGCTGATTCGCTGTAAAAACATCTGCAGCACGCACTGGTGTGAATTGCGACGTTCCTGATTCGTAGTGAAAGTTTCGTGTGGCACTGTCTGATCCTCACATGCCACGCCAAGCAACAGTTTCTGCCGGCTGCCAGCTCAGCTGCGTGGCACTTGGCCCACCTGATACAGATCGGGTGAACGATCGAATCACTTGAAAAGCAAATCCAAAACTGACAAAATCGGCACACATGCGAGAAAATGGGTACAGAACGGTAATCACACACGACAAAACGAAATGAGATCAGCAGAGCAGAAACAACCATGCGCTGCACGTGACAAAAATACTGGAACGCCGCCGACATGAGCAGAGGCGATGCACAAGCACGAGCACGTTGCCTGATGCGTTGGTATGGTAGGTTGTAATCAGCCTCAATGCTATTATAACTGCTTTTACGAAACTGCATGAACATATTAAATTTTGAAGTAACTCTGACAGTTCAGACAAAAAAAATTGTGCTTGTCTGAATTTTCAGACTAAAATTTTGAGGCACCTCTGACAGACAGAGTCCCAGGAGGGGTGTACTCTGAGGCCTCAGACTACCTCAAAACGAATCTAGGGGCCTGCTGTGAACCTCCTTTCGTCGCACCTGAACACACATGGGCTGAAAATCGAGAAGTTAATCTCCACATTCATGCATCACTCACTACCAACAACTCAGGCAACAAGCTTAGGACAGAGGCTCACACTTGGACTGGATATTTGTCAATGAGATGAGTAGAGGTTGAAGCTCATCCATCTGCTGAAGCTAGCAAACTCGAGCAGGGTACCATCATCTGTGTTGGAAATATAAGGCATCAGAATAATGTATGATGTTAGGTTTTAGTGTAGTTCCCTAAATAAGCCTCTAGGCCCTACAATAATTGTGCAATTATTGTAGGAGCTGCATTATTGGAGTTCAGGACTACGGGGGTAGAATTATTGGAGGTACCATTATTGGTGGGGATGGCTAGACTTTGGCAGGGTAGCTGCATGGATAAATACCCTGCTGTGTGCTCTCATTATCCATTCCATTGTCCTGAATCCTTTCAGTTGCAAGCTTTCTCTTGCTATTCTCTTGTACAATCAAGGCTTCCGCTACGACGGCACTATGCCTTTCTAGCAATCTGCACTGCCTTTCAACAGGGCGAGTGACAAGAGTCGCATAGCAATGCAGCAACTCTCTGCATTCAGCATGAATGGTTCACCACAACACTACATGGATGTTAGGGCATGCTTCAGCTGGTACAGAACTACTGATCACAATTGCTGGTCTAAAATTCATTACTGCCAGTATTTACCGTGCACCTTCAGCAAAGAGATACGGTAGGAAATTACATTCTGGAAGGAAGACTGAAATTTGGAAAGTGTGAGAACAAAGAAAGCCTGCATCTGATTGCAGTTTTCCAGTGTACGTATCCCTATGTGTCTGGGATAGTGTTGCAGCAGAGAGGCTGCAGGCTCACTTTTGTCAAACCAACATCTCAGTTCACAGCTACCGTACTTCCCTCCTCTCCCCACCCCCATCTTCCCTTCCCTCTTCCACACCAACATCACTGTGCAATCCCAACCATTCCTTCCTACCGCTCCTCCGTTCCTCACCGTGCGGAGGGTCCCTGCTGGAGGCCAACATAGCTGCTGCCAGCAGCAGCCACAATCATTGAGTCATCATTATTAATGGTGGCACTGCTGTGATTCCGATCCATGATCTCACTGTTCGCACACAGCGATGCAATCTCAGATCGCAGCGTCATAGCCCCCGAGGACCGCCCGTCCATGCGGCTGTGACCCCCTCCCCCGTGCCCCCCCATCTCCATATCATCCTCCGCTGTCGAAAGCGCTCGGCCCAGCCTAAAACGCCCAGGCCTTTCCCCTCCTCCTCCTCCTCCTCCTCCTCCTCCTCCTCCTCCTCCTCCTCCTCCTCCTCCTCCTCCTCCTCCTCCTCCTCCTCCTCCTCCTCCTCCTCCTCCTCCTCCTCCTCCTCCTCCTCCTCCCTCACCTCCTCCTCCCTCCTGTCTGTCCGCTGGGCAGAATTCGCGCACCATGGCGCCCAATCGCAGCACGACATCTGCCATTTCAGGGCGGTGGGCGGCGCGGCGCTTGATGCAGTCGAGGGCAATGTCTGCGAGCTCCAAAACAGCGTCCTCTGAGGCCGTCAGTGTCTTGTCCTTGAGCTCATCTATCTGGTAGTCGTGTAGCTTTATGGACGCCTGGGGGGGGAGGGGGGGGAGGGGGGTGAGGGGAGAAGAGAGCGTGTGAGAGGGAGGACGGGAGAGGGTAGGGTGCAGGAGGAGCAGATGGGAAGAAGGCGTCACCTAGTTGTTGCGTAAAAGATGGACGCCTGCGGTGGGGTGGGAGAGTGAGGGCACAAGACCAGACGCAAAGAAAGCAAGTGCTGCAAGGAAGCATTGGAGAAAGAAGCAACAGGGCAAGACCAGACTGGGGAAGGGCAGGGCAGGCACGGGAAGGCCAGATACGGCAAAACCAGGCACGGCAAGGCCAGGATGGCAGGGCCAGACATGGCAAGGGCAGAGACGACACAGGAAGGCCAGGCACGTGAGACGGGAAGAAAGGCGAGCGAGTGAGCGAGCGAGAAAGAAAGAAAAGCATACCCATTTGCCGATGTGGCAGGACCTGTCGATGGTGACTGGCTTGCCTGTAAGGATCTCCAACAGCACCACTCCGAAACTGGGGATGAGAGGACGGAGAGGGGTGCAGATGGGGGCTGAAAGGATGAGGGAAGGGAAAGAATTTCCTTTGGGGGGGGAAGAGGGGTTCGGGGCACACTGCACAATCTGGCATGCCTGCCTTAGAGTCGACTCTAAAATCAGCTGCAAGCACCACTGCTAGCACCCACCTGTACACGTCGCTCTTGGTGGTGACCATGGCAGTGCGGTTGTAATCCGGGTCCACATAGCCTGGCGTGCCTGCCACCTTGGTGGCGTTGTTGCTGCCCTCTCCGTACTGCAGCTGCTTCAGCAGCCCAAAGTCACCGATCTTGGCCTGCACTTGCACGCAGGGGGGGGGCGGGGGAAGGGAGTGCATGAGTGAGTGCGTGAAAGGGGGGGGGGGTTGTGCTGAGAAATAGTGCTTGAGAGTGGACTTTTCAGAGTTGCAGCGTGTGGGTGAGCTGGAAGTAGGGAATGCTGCTGAGTTTTCACGTGAAAAGAATGGGATTTGTTATGCGTCGTGTCACAAGCAGGTACATACGTACGTACCTCCAAGGATTCAGTGATGAGGATGTTATTGGGTTTGATGTCGCGGTGGATGATGGGCGTGGCGAAGCTATGTAGGTACGCCAGCCCCTCAGCTGCTCCCAGGGCGATCTTCAGCCGGCTCTCCAGAGTCAGCGGTACTGAGGGCCAAGGCCGCACAACACGTTGATCGCATCGCATCACACCATGTTGCATCGTATTAAATATCACATCACATCAAAGAAATACGTTAATGAAAAGCAGCAGCAGGAGAGGCCACTGGATACGGAGCACGCAGAGAGGAATGAAAAGCGAGTGATTGGCAATGGCTTCGGATAGAACCTGGTGGAGAGAGGATTAACGAATTCGCAAGACAGCAGGGGGGGAGGCGGGTGGACGGTCGGACGGACGTTTGGGGGAGCAGGTGGTCTAAACCGTAATTGGAGAACAAACTCATACACAAAAGTGAGACGATGATTGAGGCGAACTCCTGCTTACAGTGAGGCGATTACTGAGGCGCATCAAAATGGCGGATGGGCGGACTGACTTTTAGGGGAGCGGATGTGGTGGTCGAGGTCCCCGTTGGCAACGAACTCGTAGACAAGCACCTGCTCCTGCTTGGCCGTCTCCACGTCCATGTGCAGACAAAAGCCCAGCAGCCGCACCAGGTTGGGGTGGTGCAACGTTGCCATCGCCCGCACCTGGACGGAGTGAGCGTGGGAGAGAGAGAGGGGAGATGGAGGAGCGGAGTGCTGAACAGGAGCAGGGCCGACACAGGGAAAGTGAATTACGGTACGAGGAGAGCCGGCGTAGGGAGATCCTTCTCTCTGCTCAGAGCAAGCATCTTGGCTCTCTGTATTGCTGTCTGAAGCTTTGTTCTGTGGCAAGGCTCTGTACCCAAACAAGGCAAGGCAGGAATCGGCCACAAACCGACCTCAGTCTCGAAGTCGTTGGACATGAGCTTGACGCGCTTGACTGCAACCACCAGCCCGTTCTCGTTCACGCCGCGGTACACGGTGGCGAAGCCGCCCTCGCCCAGCACGTTCTTGTTGTCCCAGTTCTCCGTGAACGTGCGCACCTCCTCTATGCTGTACTCCTTGCACACGTCCAGATCCGTCCACGTGCCTGTGGTGGTGCGGGGGGTGAGAAGCGGGGGGAGGGGAGGGGGAGGGTGAGTGCGCAGGAGATTTTTGAGACGTCTCAAAGGTTGCCCCAGTTGTCGGTGAAGGCGCACACCTCCTCTGTGCTGTACTCCTTGCACACGTCCAGATCCATCCTAAACCCTACGTGCCTGCCGTGGTGGTGGTGGGGAAAGAGGGGAGAGGGCGAGAGAGATGTGGTAGGTGTGGGGAAGAGGGGAGCGGGAGGGGGATGGGAGGGTGGTGAGAGGGGGCGGGTGGATGGGCGAAAAAAAAGGGTCTGAAAAATGGAGAATGGCAGAATAGCATGTTTTATGGGGTGAATTGATGAAACTTATGCACAGTGGTGAAGTGTACATGCATGGATTGAACAAGTAACTTGAGTGCATCTGTTCAGCACCGCCGGCGGTGGCAGCAGCAGCAGCAGCAGCAGAAGACGTACGTCTCTTCTTCTGTTTCCGGAGAATGAGCACAGCAGCCACAGCAGCAGCGACAATGGCAAGCGCAACACAGCCGCCCACCACAATGGCAATGATGGCGCCCGTGGACAACGGTGGCGCTTCTGGTGCCGGTGCAGCTGGCAATGGGGTTGAGAGGGATGGGAGCGACAAAGGAGGGGAGAGGAGAGTCGGTACAAACAGGGCAGGGAGGAGTTACAGATGGGAGGAGAAGGGGAGAGTGAGAGAGAAGTGCCAAGAGAGTGAAGTGGAAGAGATATTCAAAGGCAGGGAGTGTGATCGAGGGGTGAGGCATCAAGGCGGTGTGATCGTACCAGGGGGAGGAGTGAGTGAGCAGGTGGGAGTGCCGTTGTCCAGCCAGAGCAGGTAATACCCATCATCACATGCACACGTGTACGCACTGTCAGCCGCTACTGACAAGTTTCCACCAGCAGTAGCAGTAGCAGCAGCAGCAGCAGCAGCAGCAGTAGCAGCAGCAGCAGGTGCAGCAGCAGCAGGTGCATTACCCGAACCGTCACCAAGAGCCACAGCAGCAGAAACAGGCACGCAAACACCATGCCCCCCGCAAGGCAGGTTCGAAGCAGTGAGGCCGCAGTAAGCCAGGCACTCCTCATCGGTCTTCTGTGTCTCGTTGGCCACACAGCTATCTGCTGCCACCGCCATGTCAAAGCAGTTGCTGCTCAGACTTGCCCGCCCGCGCCGGTATGCGTTTTGTCCGCCGCTAGACGTGTAGTCCCGCCCTGTCATCTGGAAGTCCAGGAAGCTCGCATTGTATTGCACCTGAGGAGGGGTAGTAGCAAGGGAACGCGGGTGGGGAGATTAGCAAGAGAGAGAAAGTAAGCAGGACGGGCAGAATGAGAATCAGAACCCTGAAATAAGTGCAGCTGAATATATATATATGAAAAAAATTGGAATGGCAAACTAAACGGTCAGGGAGGCAGGCGGGCGGAAGGACGGGCGGGCAGGCAGGCAGGTAGGCAGGAAGGTAGGTACCTGGTCGGGGCAGTAGAGGGTGCCGTTGGCGTAGAGTGTGGGGTCGCCATAGAAGAAGTTGTGTGCAATGTTGAGCGTGCTGTAGCCAGGGTTCATGCCCTTCATGTTGCGGTTCACCACGCCTGTCAGCGAGTTGTTGCTCACGTCCCTGGTGGACGAGGGGGCGTGGGGGGGATGGGGTGTGGGCGGGATGGGTGTGGGGGGGATGGGGTGTGGGCGGGATGGGTGTAGGGGGGATGGGGTGTGGGCGGGATGGGTGTGGGGGGGATGGGGTGTGGGCGGGATGGGTGTGGGTGGGATGGGGTGTGGGTGGGATGGGTGTGGGTGGGATGGGGTGTGGGTGGGATGCGGACGTGGGTGGGATGGGAATGGGTGGTATGGGGGAACGGAGCATGAGGGAGAGAAGCCACAAGGTGATGGTCGTGCGGAAGGGAGTGGGTGATGAAGTAAGGCAGTGCGGTGCGCTGTTGTGTTTCTTTACAGGTCTCTAAGTTGGGCGAAGTTGACAAGGCAGGAGGGCATGGTCCCATAAAACAGGTTGTTCCGTAGCACCCTGCGTGGCGTAGAGCAAGAGGTTTTGCACCCCACACACGCCACCACACGCCACACACCACACACCACGCCATGCCATTGATAGCCCACCGCAAAGCACGGCGCACATCATGATTAGGAGACAAGCAGACTTGACATGATAATACCATTCACTCGCAGCACCACTCATACACAGACAGAACACATAACAGCAGGAGTGGCACATTAACACACAGGGCACAGGGCATGTGAGTCCTGGTACAAGCACGAAGAGACCAATGCAAAGAGGGATTGAGTTAAAATGGCGTCATGCGAAGTCCAAAAGCACGTTGAATAAGCCAGGTTTAGCAGAGGGAGTGAGGAGGGATGGGGAGGGAAGGGGATGAGCAGAGAGGGGACTAGCAGAGAGAGCACGACAAGCAGAGAGGGCACGACAAGCAGAGAGAGCACGACAAGCAGAGAGGGCACGACAAGCAGAGAGAGCACGACAAGCAGAGAGGGCACGACAAGCAGAGAGAGCACGACAAGCAGAGAGGGCACGACAAGCAGAGAGGGCACGACAAGCAGAGAGGGCACGAGCAGAGAGGGGCAGGGCTGCGCACAGGCTGTTCATGCGCGTGAGGTTGCAGAAGGAGGACGGGATGGTGCCTGTGAGGTTGTTGCCAAACAGCCACCTGCATGACATGACAACAAGCCATCAGGCATAGGCACCCGAGAATTGACCAGAGGTGGGGAGCGGCAGTGGTCGAGAGGGGAAGGTAGGAGTGGTTAGAAGTTTCCTTGTACGGCAACATGAAAGTTGGGCAAGCACGAGAACTGTAAGCGCTTGCAAATGGCAGGGGCACCAACAGATGAAAGAAGAAATGACATCAGCCGTGAGTAAGAATCTGAACTGGGACGGGAACACCAATGCCCAAAACTTTTGAGTCGACTCAAAAGTCAACTCTGAACTGGGATGGGAACACCAATGCCCAAAACTGGCTCAGAGCAAGCCTGGGCGCTCGCAACAAGCATCGGCACAACGAAGCCGGGGTGCAAATCGGCAAGCAAGCCTGGGGCGACATGTACAGAGTCTCCAGGGATGTCAGGTTGGCAAGAGTATTGGCGACAGCCCCTGTAATGGCGTTGTTGCCCAGTGACCTGGTGGGCATGGCGGTGAGAGGACACACAGGTGAGGTGAGAGGCACAGCGCAGCAAAGGAGGGAGGAGGGATGTGCTGAGGGGCGCTGAGAAGTTGCAGCCAGCTTTGCTGGCAAAGGCACGGAAGTAGCGGCGAGGGAAGCTTGGTGGGTGAGCGTGCAGCAGCAGGATTGCAGTCTCCCTAGAAACCTAGTTGATTTCTCTGAATCAAAGCTGAGTTCAAATGAATCACAAACAGGAGGAGATAGGCACACTGCAGCCTAAAAAATCACAAGGCAGCCTTGAGAGGCGAGAGAGCGAGCAAGAGGAGTAACGCGGGACGTGGGGGACGACTGGAGGAGAGGGAACAGTGGTGCTAACAGTGCACTGAGCTGAGTGAGAGCAGAGATATTCACAGGTAGTGACCCTGCGAATGAGGTGACTTTCAAACTGACTCAATCGTCACCTCAAGAAAAAGGGCAGCGGTGCGGTGCTCACAGTGCACTGAGCTGAGTGAGAGCAGAGATATTCACAGGTAGGGAACCTGAGAGCTTGTTGCTGTCCAGAGACCTGGGAGTGCAGTGAACGGGAGGAGGGGGGGGGGGGGTGGTGGAATGGGACGGAATGGGGAGGGGGAAGATGTGGAGTCAAAGGGGGTAGGAGCGTGATAAGAGGTAAAAGGAACAGGAGTGCGGGATGTGTTGAAATCACTTTTGAGAATTCTCAAAAGGGGTGTGGCATAGTTATGAGCGAAAGCATGACCGTGTGGGTGGGGGTGACAAGCTGGGGACCAGGGGCGGTCTGAGAGGGGAGGATGGATGACGAAAGAGGGGATTATGAAAGCATTAGAAAGGCAGGGTATGGTATGGTATGACATAGAGTGGAAGCGTTCGTGGTGACGAATAGAAGGATTGGTGGTGAGGGAGGAGTATGAAGAAGTGTTTTAAGACGTCTCATAACACTTCCTCATACACATAGAGTGGAAGCGTTCGTGGTGATGAAAAGAAGGGTTGGTGGTGGTGAGGGAGGGGTGCGAAAGAAGAGGTTACAGGAGCTGGAGCGATGTGAGGTTGCCGATTGACTCTGGGATAGCGCCTGTGAGGTTGTTGCTTCCGAGGTAGCTGACAGAGAGGCGGAGAGGAAGGGTAGGGAAGGCACGAAGGCGACAATGGAAGAGGGAGAGAAGACATGGCAACAGGAGCATGTTTAGCTTGATTTGAGATCGGCTACGCCTTTGTGTTGTTGATGTGGCCGATACTGCTGTGGAGGATATAGGAAGTGAATGCAGCAAAACGGACGACTTTGGAACCAGCTCCAGCAGCAGTGCTACAACCAGCAGCAGTGGCAGTGACGGCAACAGTGGCGGCGGTTGCAGCGGTAGCAGCAGCACGTACAGTATGGCCAAGCCTGTGGTGTTCCATGCTGTGAAGTTAGGCAAAGACCCTGTGAACTGGTTGTAGCGCAGGTCCCTGTGACGCACAGCACAGCACAGCACAGCACAGCACCGCACAGCACCGCACAGCACAGCACCGCACAGCACAGCACAGCACCGCACAGCACCGCACAGCACAGCACAGCACAGCACAGCACAGCACAGCACAGCACAGCACAGCACAGCACAGCACAGCACAGCACAGCACAGCATAGCACAGCACATCACAGCACATCACAGCACAGCACAGCATAGCAGACACATGAGAGCACACACAAGATCATTAAGACAACCACAGGATGCTGCACACAAGTCAAAGTCGATAAAAGGCCCCTCCCATTCACTGGCTGCTTATCCCCCACCCGAGCCTCCCCCCAACCTCCCCTTATCCATGTGTTCACACAACCGTGCTTCCCCCTGTGCCTCCCCCCAACCATGCCTCCCCCCAACCGAGCTTCCCCAACCATGTATCCCCCAACCAGGCCTCAAGGAAGGCAGGTGAAGGAGGTGGGTGCACTGACAGGCGGAAGAGCATGGGCCAGTTGTGGATCTCCTGCGGTATGGGCCCGAGCAGGCTGTTGCCTGCAAGCGTCCTGTCAGACCATGCAAGCAGCAAGCAAGACCGCAAGTGCGGTGGTGGGCGGTGGTGTGGGAGCATGAGGGCAGAACGGGAGATGGGATGGAGAGAAAGAACGGTGAGGTGGTAGAGTGGTTGCGAAGTGGTGGTGGGTTAGAGGAGGGAGAGGGAGACGGAGGGAGAGAGGTTCGAAGGCAGGCAGAGCAGAAGCAGACTAGCAAGGAGATTTGGATATCCAATCAATGACAGGCATGTGGGAAGCGTTAATAATAAACACATCTCAATTGGTGCTATTCTCGTTGGTTTCCTTCTTATAACTATTCTTGACTTTTGGTGTTTCTTGCAGGGTTTGATGGCATCTCATCCTACTACTTGGTAAAAGAGGCGGAGGCAGGCAGCCGGGTGGTTATACAGGTCAGCGAGGTTGGACAGCTGGTGCAGCGCAGGGGGGATGATGCCCGTGAAACGGTTGGAGTTGAGATTCCTGCAGAAACGGTTAGGCATAGACAGAGAGAGGGAGGGAGCACGGGACGATGCGCATGTGTTGCTTGGAGTGGGATGGGTCAACCGGTGGATGAGGATGAGTAGTGGTGCATGCGGGCAGATGAATGCAATGCACAAATGCACACATGTGAGTGTACATGATACATGCACGCACATGAGCATGCATGCACACGTGAACACTATTGAACACAACACCCACGAGCAAGCATGCACATGAAATTGCATGCAGATAAGTGCACCCGTGCATGACAGCGCACGTGTGCAAAGAGACGAAGCCAGGACAAAAAGAGAAGAGTGAAAGGAATGGTACAAGAGCACGTGAGGCCACAGACTAGCACAGACAAGTAGACCCAAGGTGCAGAAATAGACATGGGTTGGGGAATGCGCAAGCATGGAAGGATGATCTTTGAGGCACCTTGGGAAAGCTCAAAATGAGGCTGACAGTGCCGCAGGTAGTATGGTGCATCGAGCATGGGACATGGGCATGGAACAATGGAGCATGGATCATGGAGCACAGGGTATGGAGCATGGAGCATGGACCACGAGGCATGGAGCATGGAGCACGGGGCATGGAGCATGGAGAACGGGGCATGGAGCATGAAGCTCAGTTGTGGCGAGCACTGACAGTGTAGCGAGGAAGGAGAGGCGGGTGAGAGCAGCAGGGATGGGGCCAGTGAACTGATTGTAGTCCAAATAACTGCACAAGACAGCACAGCAGGCAGCAGACAGCAGCGCAAGGATGGCCAGAGATGCACGGTGGAGGAAGGGGTAGGTGTGTGGTAGAGGGAGATGGGTTGAGGAAAGCAGGAGGATGGGATGGAATGGACCCAGAGCCCATTGCTGGACCAGAGAGCCCAGGATACAGGGCATGCGCCATCTCAGCAATGCACGGAGAGGACAGCGGGAATGGGAGAGTGTGTACGTGCGCGGACTGAACACAGTTGCTTGGTTCTTCAATCAGATTGTTGGGTTCCGGCAAGGCAGGTGAAGAAGCAGGAAGAGAGTGCGATGGAGTGAGTGAGTGAGTGAGACGCACATAGCGTTGAGGTTGGGGAGGTTGAGCGCAGCAGCAGGGAACGTTCCTGTGAAGTTGTTGTAAGAGAGGGATCTGCATGCGAGGGCGGTGAGAGAGTGATGATGAGAGCGAGAGTGAGAATGATCACACAGCACTGGAAGAGCCCATGAGTGTGTGTGTGTGTGTGAGTGTGTGTGTGTGTGTGTGTGTGTGGGTGTGTGTGTGTGTGTGTGTGTGTGTGTGTGTGCATGTGCACATACGTGCACAGATGTTGACAACGAGGGACACATGCACCTATGCACCTTGAGAACCGCTGCTTAGTTAGCACATGACATGTAGGACTTGCAACATGTGAAAATGGCAAATGACATCACAGGCATGGAGCCGCACCAACCAACCAAGCTATGGCATGGCATTGCAGGGCAGGAAAGCCACAAAGCAGCATGCATGCATGCATGCATGCAGTGCAGCACATACAGCATGCCCAGGTTCGAAAGTCGGGAGAGTGCAAGAGGCACTGGGCCAGAAAACAGGTTGCGCTGCAGAGTCCTGTGATGTGATGTGAGCCAGACACACGGCGGCACACACACGACAGGGTGCAATTGTGACTTTTGAGACGTCTCAAAACAGGCACTGGGCCAGAAAACTGGTTGCGCTGCAGAGTCCTGTGAGCCAGGCACAAGGCGGCACACACGGCAGGGTGCAATTGTGAGACGCGATCCCAAGGGCTTTTGAGTCGACTCAAAAGGAGACGCGATCCCAAGGGTGGAAGGGAAAATGAGAGCTTCATGTGATAGCACAAGAGAAGGCCTCTCAGTAGGGTGCCCCAGTGCCGTGCTTGTGACGGGGATTGTGAGGGGGAGGGAGGGAAGCGAAATGTCGTGGTCACAAGAAGATATCTGGCACGCCGATTAAACAACGAGAAAATATGAGAATAATAAAGTGAGGCGGATGATGGAGAAGAGATGTGCGAGCATACAGAGAGAAGAGCCACGTCATTGGAAAGACACTGGGAAGACCTCCTGTGAGCTGATTGCCTCCTAGGTTCCTGCAGTTGCACGTGAACGGGACACGGGTGGGTCAGGGGCATGGTGAGGAGAGAAGAAATGAAGGCAGAGGTTGGAGACTGAGAAGAAATGAAGGCAGAGGTTGGAGACTGAGGATGGATTGCTGGATGGATGGAGAGAGACGAGAGGGAAGGGGGGGAAGAGGGGAGGTCGAGGAAGGGGGGGAGAGTGAGGAGGAGAAATGCGTGAGGAGGATTGTATGGCCCCATTGATTGTGGCGAGACACACGATGAATAAATGTAGCGTAATGAGCGCGTGAGTGGGGAAGAGAGTACTGACAGGTCTTGAATGGAGGAGAGCCGAGAGATATACGGAGGGATGTTGCCAGAGAAACGATTTGACTCAATAGACCTGCTCCACACATCATGTTACACCGTGCACCGTGCAGCATGCACCATGCACCATGCACCATGCAAATCCCATTACACGATCAGGCATGTCTGGGTGAAACGGACGGTGCATGCATGCATGCTGAGCAAGGGGAACCAACCAACTTCCAGCCAGGGAGCATGGATGGATGGAGAGCAAAGGGCGGCTGCGAGGAAAACGCGCCATGATTCGGGCATGGGGCATGGGGCATGGGGCATGGCATGGCACGTCATGCCAAGGTGCAGGGAGGGGCACCTTGGTGTGGATAAGGCGAAACAGGAAGGGAGCAGGAAATTCGACTAAAAGGAAAAATATAACAAGGCACTGAGGGCGGAGGGGAGTGAGGGGTAACAAAAGCGAGAGAGAAGGGTGTGGGGAAAGTGGAGGAGTGGGGGGAGGGAGGAGGAAGCCGAGGGGGACAGGGTGCAAAGGAAGCAAAGGGGAGAAAGAGATGTGTGTGACGACTGCAGCGATTTGAAACGTACAATCCAGTGAGAAGAGGAAGAGCGGCGAGCACTGACGGTATAGGCCCTTCAAACTGGTTCATGGCCAGCGCTCTGTCAGCACAGCAGACAGGAAACACACACACACACACACACACACACACACACACACACACACACGCACGCACGCACACACACACACACACACACACACACACACACACACATGCACGCACGCACATAGACAGAAAGCAGGCGTGTGACAAACAGATTCTTTCTTCCTTTCTTTTTGAAAGCGATAATACCCCAACAGGTGACAAACTGCTGCAGACTCACGGCACAGCACATGCGTGCCGTGCGTGCACCATTTTGCAGGTCATTTACAACTCGTGAGTAAGTGGGTGAGTCAGTGAGTGAGAGAGCCCCGTTGAAGCAACTGGCACTCACAAGTTTTCCAGATTCGTACTGAGGGCCTGAGTTATAGACCCCGACATCTGATTGTCATCCAACATCCTGAAAAAGAGATGAGAGGGGGGCGATTTTTAGTTGACTCCACCATAGATTCATACGGCCCGATAGATATCTGACTGACATCTAGCAGCATCCTGAGAAAGGGATGACAGGGGATCGCTACAGACGGTTACGCCTGGTTACTATCATAACCTCTTGCTGTACACAGGCGTTTGACCCAAGCTCAGTGTTAGGCTTTTTATCGTTCTCCGGACGTGTTGCAGCTTATCCCTTTGATGCTTGTGCCTACGGCTCGCCTATGCTAGTAAAGATGGTGATAGTGGTGGTGGAGGTGGTGGGTCGCACAAGGAGCGGAGGTTGGTGAGGTTGGAGAAGGAGAGAGGGATGGATCCACTGATGTTGTTGCTGCTCATTGTGCTGCACACATGCATGTGCCATGGCAGGCAGTGTCCATGGGTGGAGAACAGATGCGTGGCAAGGGGAGATGGTGAGAAATGCGGAGATAGCGGAGCGGAGGGCATGAGAGACAGGAAACGCAATGGCAGGCAAGGGAATCGGGCAAGAAAGGAGAAGACCAAACGGCAGTTTACGGATGTGCATCGACTACTGCCCACTGAACAAACAGACAGGTCACAATCTGAGAATGCTTAATGATATCCTTGCAGAGGAAACACAAAGGCGGCAGGCAGAACAAGAAAATGTGAGGAAGGAAAGTAGTAAGCAGAGGAGGTAGGGAGATAGGTGGCTGCAAGCAAACGAGGGCCTTGGGAGAGAGGCAGTTGGGAAAGAAGAGAGAGGAGATAGATAAAACATAAAGAGCGAAGGAGGGGCTTGAGAAGGAGTGGATCGGGTACAGGCTTGTGAGGTTGACGAGCGATGCCCACGAGTCTGGTAGCACTCCAAGCAGCCCGTTCATTGCCGCATCACTGGCATAAGCGGGGTTGGGCAGAGGCAGGGGAGAGGAAGAACGATAGTCTTGTGTGTGTCAACTATACCTTTCGAAGCACCGACTGAGAAAGAAGGGAGACGCGATAAGAAGGGGCCTTGGCGAATGCCACGCAGTGAGCAGAGCAGCAGTTGGAATGGAGGATGCCATGCCATGTGCTGTAGCGTGCTACGTTGTGCCGTGCTGTGCTGTGCTGCGCTGCGCTGCGCTGCGCCGTACTGTCGTGTTGTCGTGTGGTACCACACTGAGCAGCCCCTAGCCGTGCTGTGTGCACCCTCCCGTCAGGTGTGCCACTGTGCGCTGTGCTGTGATGTGTGCGCATGTGTGCTCACAAGGTTTCAAGGCTGCCGAGCTTTGAGAGGTCCTGAGGCACGATGGCAGTGCGGAAGAAAGGGCGGTCGTCCGGGACCAGCCCGTGCAGATTGCTGTGGGGACGGGACGAGTAGTGCAGGGAGGAAGACCAAGGGAGAGCGGGGGGGGGGCTTTTGAGAATTCTCAGAATTTAGAAAGGGCGGTCGTCCGGGACCAGCCCGTGCAGATTGCTGTGGGGACGAGAAGAGGGAAGTGTGGGGAAAGAAGCGTGGGCGGGGAGTGGCGAGGGAGGAAGGAGGGACAAGAGAAGAATGAGTATGAGACTCGGGCCAAGGGTCGACGAGGGGATTGAGCGGGAGAGGGAAGGGGAAAGGATGGGAGGGGAGGGGAGGAGGGAGAGAGAAAGGGAGGAGGACGACGACGAGGAGGACAGCTTTCTTGCAGCTATAACGACATGCCAAACAGCATTTGAACTGAACCCAGTAGATTCAACAACTGTTGGCATGACACTGGAAAGCGCCACCACACCACACCAGGAGAGCTCATAGCTATCATCGCTACACTACTATCTCATACGTGAGTGCCAAAAGCGCTTGACAGACAGCTACGACACCAAAAAGCATCGCGATTTGCTACACTCTGTAAGAGCAGAGCACAGTGATCGCCGAGCCAGCCCTCACAGGTATTTCAAGCCGGAAAGCACGGTGATCCAATTTGGGAAGGAGACAAACTTGAGGCTGCCTAGGTCTCTGCATACGTACAGAGCAGCAGGGGCGAGAGAAGCAGGTGGTAAAGCAGCAGGTGAGAGAGCAGCAGATGATAAAGCAGTAGGTCAGAGAGTAGTCGCCAGAGGGAGGCGCAGGCAGAGGGGAAAAGAGGGGATCAGATTAAACTGAGGGACAAAACAGAGAGAGGCTCAATGGGAAGACGAGGTAGCAAAGATGCACAGGGGGGGGGCTAGAAGGGAGTGACACTCACAAGAAGGTGAGCTGCTGCAGAGTGGAGAAAGTGAGGGGAGGCAGCTCGCCGTACATGTCGTTGTGCGCAAGAGAGCTGCGAGGCGAGGGAGAGGGGGGGTTGGGGAGGGGACGAAGGAGCTTTTGGGTCGACTCTAAAGTCAAACTTTGCAGAGTGGAGAAGGTGAGTGGAGGCAGCTCGCCATACATGTCATTGTGCGCCAGCGAGCTGCGAGGCGAGGGAGGGGAGGAGAGAGAGGATGTGCGGGGAGGGAGCAAAGGACAGGAAGGGGCGGGTGGTGAAAGTCGAAGGCATGGAGGAGAAGAAAAGTACGCAAGTGAGAGATGATACGGGTTGTTAAGTAATATTTCACAGGCAAAGCGGAAAATCTACGCGCGAGTAGAGCAATTGAATGGGAAAGAAATGCCTCACAGGTAGCGCAGGGAAGTGAGGGATGAGAGCCATGTGAGGTTGGCAAAGGGACCTGTGACTGCTACCAGCTCTCCCAAATCACTGCCATGGCGAGAAGAAGCACAGGGGAGAGGTAGGCGGGCGGGCAGGGCATGCAGGCGATGAGTTTTGAGGGCCAGAAGAACGTCATGCAAGGCAAGGTAGGCAGTCCACCAACAAGCACCTCCAATCGAAATTGATGAAGGGTGAGTGACCCTAGATTCAACTGAGTATGGCCCTTTGAGGGCATGTAAGGGACAACGAAGTTCCGTCCACTGTGCAGAATTCGGTGTAAAAGAGGCAACCATGTAGGGATGGCTGGCTGGTGGCCAAAGGACGAAAGGACAGAGAACTTCAAGGACAAAAAAGGGATGGTGTCAGTTGATCAGTGATAGGCGGGTGGCTGACAGCATAAAGAGAAGACATGTAGTGGGGGGAAGGGAAGCGACGTAGCTCGTGGGGAACAGATGGTGGCGCAGTGACACGGCATGCTTGCAAAAGGGAAGACGCAGGCAGACCAGCAGGCACACAGGCAGGCAGAGAGTTTGGCAGGAAGGCAGGTGGGCGGGAAGAGAGTTTGGCAGGAAGGCAGGTGGGCGGGAAGAGAGTTTGACAGGAAGGCAGGTGGGCGGGAAGAGAGTTTGGCAGGAAGGCAGGTGGGCGGGAAGAGAGTTTGGCAGGAAGGCAGGTGGGCGGGAAGAGAGTTTGGCAGGAAGGCAGGTGGGCGGGAAGAGAGTTTGGCAGGAAGGCAGGTGGGCGGGAAGAGAGTTTGGCAGGAAGGCAGGTGGGCGGGAAGAGAGTTTGGCAGGAAGGCAGGTGGGAGGGAAGAGAGTTTGGCAGGAAGGCAGGTGGGCGGGAAGAGAGTTTGGCAGGAAGGCAGGTGGGCGGGAAGAGAGTTTGGCAGGAAGGCAGGTGGGCGGGAAGAGAGTTTGGCAGGAAGGCAGGTGGGCGGGAAGAGAGTTTGGCAGGAAGGCAGGTGGGCGGGAAGAGAGTTTGGCAGGAAGGCAGGTGGGAAGGAAGAGAGTTTGGCAGGAAGGCAGGTGGGCGGGAAGAGAGTTTGGCAGGAAGGCAGGTGGGAGGGAAGAGAGTTTGGCAGGAAGGCAGGTGGGCGGGAAGAGAGTTTGCCAGGAAGGCAGGTGGGCGGGAAGAGAGTTTGGCAGGAAGGCAGGTGGGCGGGAAGAGAGTTTGGCAGGAAGGCAGGTGGGCGGGAAGAGAGTTTGGCAGGAAGGCAGGTGGGCGGGAAGAGAGTTTGGCAGGAAGGCAGGTGGGCGGGAAGAGAGTTTGGCAGGAAGGCAGGTGAGCGGGAAGAGAGTTTGGCAGGAAGGCAGGTGGGAGGGAAGAGAGTTTGGCAGGAAGGCAGGTGGGCGGGAAGAGAGTTTGGCAGGAAGGCAGGTGGGCGGGAAGAGAGTTTGGCAGGAAGGCAGGTGGGCGGGAAGAGAGTTTGGCAGGAAGGCAGGTGGGCGGGAAGAGAGTTTGGCAGGAAGGCAGGTGGGCGGGAAGAGAGTTTGGCAGGAAGGCAGGTGGGCGGGAAGAGAGTTTGGCAGGAAGGCAGGTGGGCGGGAAGAGAGTTTGGCAGGAAGGCAGGTGGGCGGGAAGAGAGTTTGGCAGGAAGGCAGGTGGGCGGGAAGAGAGTTTGGCAGGAAGGCAGGTGGGCGGGCAGAAGGGAAGCGCGGTCCAGCGCTTACAGGTAGGTGAGGCGAGTGAGGGCTCCGATGGTGGCAGGGAAGGTGCCGTTGAGGAAGAATGTGTGCAGATCGCTGGGGGAAATAGGTGGCGCGGGGAGAGTGGGGTGGACACAGGTGGGGTGGGGTGGTGTGAAAAGGGAAGTATGTATGAGCAGGGTGGATGTGGGTGAGAAGGTGTGCCCACGCTCCTCCTCTTTGCCACGACGGCGCAGCATGGAACGGCACAGAACGGAACGGAATGGATCGGAACGGTAGGGAACTGAATGGCATGACAGCTTGTGAGACATCTCTCATCGTGGTTGGTAGCACACTCAGATACGCTCAGATCAGATATGAAATGGTGTCACAGGCGGGTATCTCGCCGCAACAACTTGTGAGGTGCGTTCCTTCCGGCACAATAGCACACTCACAGGTGGGAAAGGGCAGCAAGGTTCCCTATGGCTTCAGGTATGGGCCCGTAAAACTTGGAGTAACGAAGGTCACTGGCGGGTCATGGATGGTGAGGAATGTGGGCGGGCGTATGTGAAAGGAAAGCATGGGAACAGGACAGGGCATGTGAGACGGGTTGATTGATTAGTTATGAGAAGTGATAGTGGTGCAAAAGGTATGGCTTTACATTCCATCACATGGCATGGCATGGTATGGCAGGGCGAGGCAGGGTGGGGCATGGCATGGCATGGCAGGGTTTGGTGTGGCGTAGCAGGGCATGGCATGGAGCCGGGTGCCATAACATGGCATGGCGGCGGCATTGCGTGGCATGGCATAAAACAGGCCGTGACAGCCGGGGAGATGTAAAACTGGGGGAAGGCGGTGGGGGAGGGAGAGAGAGAGAGAGAGAGAGAGAGAGAGAGAGAGAGAGAGAGAGAGAGAGAGAGAGAGAGAGAGAGAGAGAGAGAGAGAGAGAGAGAGAGAAAGCAGACCCACAGGGCCTCAAGCTGCAGCAGTCTCTAGCGCTGGCGGTTCAGACACACCGCTTCCTGAGGGTCATGAACGAGGCAAGGCGGATGCGCCCCAACCCCCTCTCTGGCCATGCCCAGAGAATGCAGTCGGTGCTCGGCCCTGGTGCGGGAGATTGGCTGCTGGCACTACCCATCATACCCTCGCTTAGGATGGGACCCTCCCAGCTCTCCTCCGCTGCTGCGTTCCGCCTGGGCCTCCCCCTACCTGTCCCCAGGCGCTGCGACTGCCGCTACCGCACCAAATTCCCTGATGACCGCCTCCCAAACCATCTCATGCGCTGCGAGAAAGGGGGGGGAAGGATTGCGACTCACCATGCGCTCAGGGACGAGATTGCTTTGATTGCGGCAGAGGCGGGATTCACGGTGCACAAAGAAACCTGTGTATTCTCTCTCGTTGAAAACCTGAAGGCGGACGTCGCAATCCGCCATCCCCGGACGGGAGAGGTTTGGATGTGCGACGTGACAGTGACGGACCCCGTTTCTCACCAAGATGAGAACTGCAATAGAGCACCGGGGTGGGCGCCTAGGGCAGCTGCGGACAAGAAGGAGCAGAAATACGCGCGCCGAAATGCGTGGGTGGGCTTTCATGCCCTAGCGGTAGAGACATATGGGTACCCCTCGCCCGGGGTGTTGGCATTCTTGCGGCAGTGCGCGGAGCTGGCGGCCAAGTTGCGATTCAACGCAGCCCCCAACTCCTACGAGGCCGCCAAGCTGCTGACGGAATACCGCCAGCGCTGGAGCGTGTGCCTCCAAAAAGCACAAGCCAACGCCCTCCGCTGCAAGACCAACGAGGCGATAGCAGCGGACGAGCTCGGCATGCGGGGCCCCTTTGCCCCCCTTAGCGAAGGCCAGCTCTACCAGCTAATAGAGCTCTCGTTCGACCTTTAGGGTCGGACGGAGGGGGCGGGAGGGAGTTAGGGAATGAGGTAGTTAGGTTGACCGAGTGTTATGTCTGGGTTTGCATGTGTTTGCATCTTCCCATCTATCTCCCATCAATCAATACCAGGACCATTCGAGAGAGAGAGAGGATGAGGATGGAGGAAAGGGGAGCAGAGGGCTGACAGGATTTGGAGGTTGAAGAGTGCTGGTATGTACTCCATCGTGCCGTTGAGGTCCCTTTGCCTTGACAGATTGCTGCACGCCGTCACACACATACATACACATGCGGGCACACACACACACACACACACACACACACAGACACACACACACACACACACACATACACACACATACACGTATACACGTCCACGCATGCAGGGTGAGTAGAGGGAATGGGGGGGAAGGGGGCACATGACTATGCACAACCAGGTGGAGCAACACAACAACCACATCCCCCCACTTTCCATCCACCATCCAGCCCAGAAGACTCAAATTCCCTTCTGCAAAATCTTCCACTCCCTCCTTCCCCTTCCAGTTCCGCTTTCCCCTCCGCAACTCCCCTTTCTCCCTTCCCGTTCCCCCTACTCCTGTCCCCAGCGCTTTCCCAACAACCCCTCCCCCTCACAGCGTTCGGAGCAGGGAGAGCTGCACTAGCGCGGATGGGATGCTGCCGTTCACCACCTGAGAGGGGTCCAGCCTGAGGGAGAAGAGAAGTCGTGGAGGGGGTGGGTGGGAGCGAGATGGCGGGGCGGATGGTTGAAGGTTTGCGCATCTATGGGTGAAGAGAATATAACGCTGGAGTTTCTATACGGCTGAAAAGTCATGGCAGAAGAGATTAGAGGTTACTTTCTAAAGGGTCAAGGGTTCCAAAGAGGGAAGGTTAGAAGGGCTAACGCGTAGAGGGTTAAGGATCAAAATGCGAGAATCAAAGAACTGCGTAACAAAGAATTGCACAGCAATGCAAAGCGAGGAGCTTGTGGGGAGCGAGAGCGAGAGAGGGAGGAAGTTCGAAAACGGGCGCAAGTTCGAAAAACGGCGAGAGAAAGAGAGGGAGAGGGAGAGGTGCGATGCGTACTGTAAGGCAGTGACGTATCCAGCGGGATTGCACGTGACTCCAGCCCACTGGCGGCACGCAGTGGTCGCATTCGTGTTGCCCGGCCATGTGCCCCCCCATGCCTCGTTCAGCTGCACCAGCGCTGACACTGCCATGCCATGCGCACGCACATGCACCATACACCATGCACCATGCACGCATGCATACATGCACACATGCACACATGCACACATGCACCCATGCAGGAGGCATCCGTTCAGCGGCATACAAGCAAACAAGCATGCAGGCACAACCCGTGGATGCAGGCGAACAGGCAGAAACATGCATGCACGCGCGCATGATCCGCGCGTGCATGCGGGGGGTGGATGGGGAAGGAGAGAGGTCCAGCGCAGGCGAGAGGGACAGGGGCAGTCAGGAGCTTATGAGAAGTCTCAGACGGAGGCGAGAGGCCCAACGTAGGCGCGAGGAGAGCAAGACTTGTAACGTTTAGAAACGAGCATCAGCAGGGCGAGTCAGCAAGGCACCCGCATGGCATCCGCATGGCCCCCTCATCTCCGCGCGCACCTTGAGACTCCGCCAGCGTCACAACTGCGCCACCTCCCTTTCCCCCCTGCTGCCCCGCTTGCGCCACTGCTACCCCAGCTCTCCCCCCATCCCATCCTTCCCCCTCCCCCGCTGCGTTCCGTAGCCGCCATCCTTCCCGTCTCCCTCCCACTAATCTTCCCTGCGAGTCCGGTCCCATAGCGGTGCGGCCAATGGCGCCTACGCGCCGTCGCACCATTGGCGAGACGACGCTTAGCAGACTATGCCTAGGGTTATAGTCCTCGGGCGAGTCGGCTTCGTGGTGCTGCGAGTGGCTCGTCTCGGGAGTATCCGAAATGGGTTGCATTTCTCGTTCTCCCACGTCACGATGCTGCCTGGAGGATTGACCGCGAAAAGGCCGGCCGTTGGATTGGTCGTTACTAGCGATAGCATTGCTGCCGCCATGGATTGTACGGGGTTCCTGAAAACGCGGCTGTTGCGAGTCACGAGGAAGGTATGCGCGACGCGCTTGAGGGTTCTTAGAGTTAAGGAGGTTAGCTCGCGTGGTAGTAAGATAACTGTCGGGGTCATTGCTGTCACTGGCGCCAATGTCGTTTGATAATGTATCGCTGTGCCGAGATGATCGAAAGTTAGACGCTACTACGAGTAGAGGCGGGTGGCAGAGGAGGAGGACGGAGAGAATGGAGAGAAGAAGCGGCGATACGTATGTCGAGAGAGACGGACAGTTTGAAACTTTGTTTCTTAGCGTGCGCCGGCAACGTGACGGGAGGAAAGACATTGTTAGTCTACGCGAAGTTGAGCGTCAAAGTGAGTGGTGTAAAAAAAGGTGTTGAGCGAGTCGATGCGAAGCGTCGCGAGTCTACGCCTGCTATTGCGAGACGCAGCGGAAACAGAGAGGGGCGTGGCCTGCAAATCACACCAAAGGTGGTAAAAAGAGAAACAGCAACGACTTGCCAAAAAATGATCAGGGTGTGCTGCCGTAGAAGTGCTTGCTTGACAGAGAGGCTTGGCCTCGAAAGAAATGACGAGGTTGTGTTGTTGTCACTGAGAGGGGAGGAGAGGGGAGGAGGGGAGGAGAGGAGGGAGGGAGAGAGACTTGCTTGACAAACCGAGGTACTGCTGGTGGTGGTGCCTGCTGCTGGCTGGCTGGTTGCGTACATTTCCAGTCAAAGGGAACTGGTGAGTTGGCGAGGGAGGAATTTTCTTTCAAGCTGAGCGAAAACATCGGACCAACCGATGGGCGTGTTACATTTAGTACCGAATGCCGACCGCATCGCAGATCTCTCTCGACTCATCACCATCACGTCACGACGGCTTTCCCCCACGTTCGTTTCCCGCCCTTTGCTGCCAACTTGGCAAGGATTTGAGGGTTTGCCACTGGCATTGTTGTCAAATAGCTCAGCAACAGACAGAAATTGAAAGAGTCCGTGTACACTACCACTTGTTTTCACTATTGAGTGCAATTGAGTGAACGAACGAGAATTGCACTATCTAAGAAAGAGTACAATGAGCGAAGAATATATAGCGAAACTACAATGGTAACGGTAATGGACTGTGGTTGTCGCGCGACGGGCCTGGGACTGAGGTTGGGAAAAGTGTCGAAGCGGAGGCCCGGAGCGCGGGTTACCCGCCGAGCCGTGAGGTCGGGGTGCTACGTGCGAAGGTGGCGGGCGGATTGTCGATGCGAGGATTGCGAGTGGTAACGGTGCTGACTGTGGTGCTACAGTGATGTACGCGTTGAGCAGGGATGCGAAGTAAGGAAAAGGAATTTTCCTTACACTACCCCCCCTTCCTAAGGAGGTCCGCCTTACGAACGTGCGTGTACATCCCTGAAGTTTCGGCTGCGCAGATACTCGGTGAGGACGGGGTGGTTTTCGATTCTGTCAACGGGAACCCAATTGTCTTCGGTGGGTGTACGCTCTTTCCAGCGGAGTAGGAACTCGATCCTTCGGGCTCCTCGAGGGTCACGAACTCTGCGGCTCAGGATTTTTTCGGGGGTGATGATTGGTTCAGTCGGCAGTCGTATCATGCTGGCTGGGCGATTGCGTGGGAGTTGGCTTGTGGACGGGACGTAGGGGCGAAGCAGGCTGACGTGGAACGAGGGGCTGACTTACCAGTCAGCAGAGAGGAAGAGGTGGGCGGTGACAGGTGTAATCATGTAGCTTATGCGAAATGGCCCGCAGTATCGGGGGCGGAGTTTCGGGGTGATGGGCAGTCGGAGATTTTGGGTGTCGAGCAAAACTAAGTCGTCGGGCTGGTAAGTGACAGGTCTGCGGTGGCGGTCGGCGTTGCGTTTAGCGATGATGTTAGCTTTTTTATTTGCGTCTGCTGCCTTGGTCCGTGCTGCTTGCAAAATTTCGGCAAACTGTTGCGCGCGTGGAACCGGGTTGTCGGGATTCGGGGTCATGGGTACTGTTGGGTTTTGTCCGTAATTCAGGTAAAACGGTGACTGTTGGGTCGTGGCGGATGTGTCAGAACATATCTATAGCTTATACTGCTGTGTAGGCTGTAGTGGGGTATCCCATAGGGGGTACAACCCAGTTAGGGTTTCATATTTGTACTGCTTTCGTTCATAGTTCATTCATTCCTGTTTTCCTATTTTCACATGGTATAGAGCGGGTCCTACCTTAGGACCGTTGTCTGGGCCCACCGACGCGCGCCCCGAGGCGCGCCCTTTTAGCGACCTCTCGGGTCGCCTTTTCACTCGCGGCCCCGCCGCCTCCTCTGACGCGGCTTTGCCGCCTCCCCTGACGCGGCCCAGCCGCCTCCCTTGACGCGGCCCCGCCGCCTCTTTTAACGCGGCCCCGCCGCCTCCCTTGACGCGGCCCCGCCGCCTCCCTTGACGCGGCCTCGCCGCCTCCCCTGACGCGGCCCCGCCGCCTCCCCTGACGCGGCCCCGCCGCCTCCCTTGACGCGGCCCCGCCGCCTCCCCTGACGCGGCCCCGCCGCCTCCCCTGACGAGGCCCCGCCGCCTCCCCTGACGCGACTCCGCCGCCTCCCCTGACGCGGCCCCGCCGCCTCCATTGACGCGGCCCCGCCGCCTCCCCTGACGCGGCCACGCCGCCTCCTCTGACGCGGCCCCGCCTCTGCTGCCGACGGCCCCGCCGCTGCCCTCTACGGCCCGCCGCTGCACCCTGCCGGCCCGTCGCTGCTCCTGCCGGCCCGACGCTGCACCCTGCCGGCCCGCCGCTTCTCCTGCCGGCCCGCCGCTGCACCTACCGGCCCGCCGCTGCACCCATCGGCCCGCCGCCTCTTACGGCCCGCCACTTGCACCTGCCGGCCCGCCGCTGCACCTGCCGGCCCGACGCTGCACCTGCCGGCCCGACGCTGCATCTCCCGGCCGAGCCGCCCCAGCAGCCGAGCCGCCCGGGACCCGAGCCGCCCTGCCGCCGAGCCGCCCGGGAGCCGAGCCGCCCTGCACCCGAGCCGCCCAGCCGCCGAGCCGCCCGGGAGCCGAGCCGCCCTGCACCCGAGCTGCCCAGCCGCCGAGCCGCCCCGGAGCCGAGCCGCCCTGCGCCCGAGCCGCCCAGCCGCCGAGCCGCCCGGGAGCCGAGCAGCTGTGCACCCGAGCCGCCCGGTCGCTGAGCCGCCTTTCTGCTGACTGCACGACCTGCCCTGCCTGGTGAGCACTGTCCCACTGACACTGCGAGCTCTTTCCCTACTGCTTGCACTGCGTCGCTGTCGTCACCATGGCTACCCCTAGTGTCCTAGCTTTTGACGCTGAGGGTCGCGCCATTGATTTTGAGGTCTGGTTAGACGACCTGCAGCTGTTCTTACAGTGCGACAGGGCTGACGACCTTTCTCTCTTTGACCTCACCTCTGGCGCCTCTCCTGCCCCTGCTGCTGATGCTGATCCCGCTGTCCGCTCTAAGTGGGCCACCCGCGATGCTGCTGCACGTCTTGCTGTGCGTCGCCACCTCCCTACCTCTGAGCGTGCGCACTTTAGTCAGTACAAGAGTGCTCAGACCTTGTACGACGCTGTAGTTGCGCGCTACTCCTCCCCTGCCACTGCTGCACTGAGCCGTCTCATGCTTCCCTACCTCTTTCCTGACCTCTCTGCCTTTCCCACTGTCGCTGACCTCATTACGCACCTCCGCACTAGTGACACTCGCTACCGCGCCGCCCTTCCTGCTGAGTTCTGCGCTAAGAACCCCCCCCCCATGTACATCGCTCTCTACTACGTAGTCGCACGCCTCCCTGACTCCCTTCGCGTCGTCAGGGACCACTTTCTCGCAGTCTGTCCCACCACTCTCACCGTCGACCTCCTCGAGAAGGCCCTCCTTGCAGCGGAGAAGAGCATAGTCGCTGTAGGTGCTTCTCGTGGTGACCCTCGCACCCCCATCTTTGAGGGGTGCTCTCCTTCCCCCTTGCTGCCCTCTGTTGCCTCTGCTGCTGCTGCCGACCTGCTTGGTCTTGAGTCGGTCGGCGCGGCGTCTGCCCCTAGTGGGAGACGTCGCTCCAGCAAGGGCAAGGGGGGCAAGGGCGCGGGTGGAGCTGGAGGGGGCGGTGGCGGTGGCGGCGGTGGCGGCGGAGGGAGTGGGGGTGGCGGCGGGGCTAGTGGCGGGGGTGGTGGTGGTGGTGGCGGCAGCAGCGGCGGAGACGGTGGTGGTGGTGCCAGCGGTGGTGGTGGAGGCAGCGGCGGAGGTGGAGGCGGCGGAGGTGGAGGCGGTGGAGGCGGCAGCGGAGGAGGCAGTAGTGGTGGAGGAGGTGGAGCTGGTCGGGGTGGTACCCAGCAGCGTAGCGGCGGTGGTGGTGGCCAGCGCTCGCACCGGCAGCAGCAGCAGCAGCGCTCGCGGGACATCCCTTCGCCTCAGCAGCTTCGTGAGTGGTACGCTGGGCGTCAGAGGGGTGGGGGTACTGGTCCCTGCACCTACGTTCTTCGTTCCAGCGACCGCGCGGGTGAGCAGTGTGGGGGTGCCCACGCCACCCAGCGCTGCTTTGGCCGCCTGACGGACGCTTGGCGTCAGCAGTTCCCTGGGGCTAGTGAGATCCCTCGCTGGGATGAGCTTCTCAGGGCTGGTGTAGCGATCTTTGATCTTGATTTTGATGCTATCCTTACTGCTATGTATGTTGTGGATTATAGTGAGGAGAATGAGGGTTACCGGTGTTTTCAGCCCGACCCGGGCATTGGTACTGCTGCGCTAGGTGCTTGTGAGGCTGCTGCTCTAGGTGCCAGTGCGTCTGCGCTCTCAGGTACTGGTGAGACTGCGCTCTCAGGTACTGAGTCGTCCTCGTCCT